CACTAAAAATCCCCATTTGGGGAAAACAATAAGCAGGACTGCATTAAGACAGAGGGTGACTTTCTGGTCCCACTGAAAGCAATGGAAATTTCAGTGGAGCTGGGATTTCACTTAATACTTGAAAAATGTCTGGGTCACGAACATAGAATCAAAGAATACTAGAACTGGAAGAACCTCGAGAAGTCAAGTCCAGTCCATCTAGAGCATCCACGACAGAAGTCTGTCTACCCTGCTCTTTAAAAAAACTCCAATGACGGAAGATTCCACAACTGCCCTACACAATTTATTCTAGTGCTTAGCCCCTCTGACAGTTAGGAAGTTTTTCCTAATGTTAAACCTAAACCTTCCTTGCTGCAATTTAAGTCCATTGATTCTTGTCCTGTCATTGTTAGGGATGTAAAAGAGTACTCCTCTATAACAGGGGCAGCAAGGTGTGGGGAAGCAGGTCCCAGTGCTGGGGAAAGGTGGCTTGAAAGGGTCCCAGGCCTGCCCTACTGCAGCTCTGCCCTTTTAAACGTATTAAGAGTCAGGGAGCTCTTATGACATTTAAAAGGCAAAGCTGCAGCAGTCCCAGAGCCAGCACGAGTCACCCATGGGGGGCACTGCAGTTAGTCCAGTGTTGCTATCCTACTTGGTCCAGGAACTCACCTAGACAGAGCACTAGATCTGGATCATATCAATAGCCATCAATTTACCTTTCAGAAATCAACAAAAATTTTCACACTCCTTTCATGCTTAGCAAGCAGGTGCACGTGACTATGTCAGTTACTCAGGAGTCTGAGACAAACTCAAAGACCCTTAGCTTGTGCTGTACTGCCTGTGCTATTACTCCCAAACTAGATGTGGTGGGACGGTGAAACCTTCCCAGTAAGGACACAAACACATCCCAGAAAGCTTCTGATAGGTATTCAGATTCCCGATAGTCCTCAACTATTGATACTTTATTGCTCCCTGATAGTTCTATTCTCTAGAAGCCTAAAGACAATGGCTTATCCTCAAGATTAAACTACCAACTTCTGGTACTGTGCCAGGATCTAATAGGTTCACCTGGTAGATATTTTTCTCCTTCCTGTCTGTATGTTGGTGATTTACTTGACCTGCTCTCCTTTTCACCTTGCATGTTCTTTATCCACGGTTGGAATTTCCACGCACAACCTAATTTTTGTAATTCTTCCTCCCCTCCTCTCCCCTCTTTCCAGAAGCTCAGGGGAAATTCTTACAAGTGAGAAACCTGTGAAAGCCTAAGGAACAATGGGTATTGCAAAAGGGTGGTATGGTAACTACCTCGCTGAATCCTTTGTGTATTCAATCTCTACACACTTCCAGAGCATTGTTTCAAGGTTGCAATTAAACTGTTTAATAAGGATGGAACTGATATTCATACTAATTTAACTCTAAGTAAACCTGGTTGGTCCCAAGATCCATGAGGACTTCAATTAGTAATCCCAATGTGGAAAATATTTCTATCCGTGATCCTGCAGTGACCAGAGCCATCACAGCGATAGGTGTGAAGGACTCCAGGTACCCAGTGAAATAATCAATCTACCCTTTTCAGAAGTCTGACAATACCTTTTATACCAGATAAAATGATATATGACATTGGAACTAAGGGGCTCAGTAGTTTCCTTTTGGTTCACATATTCAGAACTCTAAGCGTGATGCATGGAAGAGAGTGGTCTCTTTGCTGGTACCTGGACATGGTAAGTCACTCAATTGGCACTCTAAGGCCTTGTCCCTCCTCAGATGAACCACAGACAAAAAGGGATGGGACACTCCAAAGGGGGTCCACCCATCTTGCTGAGTTAGAAGAGAAACTAATTATCAGTGGCAGGTCTATTTTGTCTGAGAGTCACCATCTACCTAGTGCAATACATTCTTTAGTAAGAAAATAGAAGGATTCTGCTTCCTGTTCCTCCCAGGTGATTTTCTAGTTTACAAGACACACCAGGCAGTTCCTCTTTAAGGGTTTCCTCAAGTTTACCGATTAGTTACTCAATCAAAAGAAGTTGCTAAGGAATCAATGCTAGAAGCACTCTGACACTTCCGGAGAATATTGATGGTAAGGTGGTTATGGCATGGATGTAGGGCTTGTGAAATCTTGGGTGAGTTTGTGGCTCTGTAATAGCCTTCCTGCATAACCTTGGTCAAACTACTTAACCCCTCCATGCCTGAACTCCTAAAACACCCTTTCCCCCACTCTTTACCTATTTACAGTGTAAGCTCTTCAGGGCAGGGACCATCCCTCACTATGTGTTTGTACTGTATCTGGTACCATGAAGCGTCAACTTCAGTTGAGTCTCTGAGGCAGGACCATAGTGTAAGTAATAATATTTGTGCCTGCTTGTGGGAAAGTTCTCTGCCCCACAGGAACTCTTATTTTCTGAAGTTGGCTCCAGATTCAGGAATATAGAGATCTGTGCTCATCCATCACCCTTAAATCACTTCAGTGAATATAAGGATTACAGCACAATTCAAGGCAGCACAACTCTTTTTTGGAATTGTGTCTTTCTGGATCCCCGAAATACTTCCCTTACATTACAACACAATGTGAGATAGAGCTTAATAATAACAGAGTGAAAGAGAAAATGAAAAATACTGCCAAAGGAAAAAAGATATATTTTCAGATAAGAGTTAAAATGATAGAGAGTTAATGATGAGGAAAAAAAGGAAGGTAATTCTAGGTGATTAGGGCTGCAAGGAAAAAGGCTTTTGTACCCAGAGTGATAAGACTATATGTACAGAGAAAACATATGATCAGATGAGTGGCAAATGAGTGCAAAGATGTGGGCTGATAATAGAAACAGACCAATATAAAGATAGAGAGATTTTAAAACAAGGACAATACTGAACTGGAGCCTAAAAAAATAGATACTGATGAAATTATAAGGCTCACCATATTTTCTTTTCTGCTTTTATTTGCTTATTGTAAGAACATCAGTAATTCTGTAATTTATATCAAATACACTAAGGCTCATTTTTAAAGTCTATAGTGGTACACAATCAAATATGTATTTACAGGTAAGTGTATAAATATGCCTATATGTTTGCGCAAACATGTATTAAGAGGAATTCTTATCCTTTCTGTCTGCTCCATATAGCATTTAAAAATGTATAGTTTTGCTTAAAACAAGGAAAAAAATGTTCCCTAATTATCCCTTTCAAATTCAAGCCCAGTATACACTATTTTGTACATAAAGCATAAAAAAAAACCACAACCAATTTTAATGATAATTTCACACGTGAAGAGGCCTCTTACTCAGCAGAGGAAATCTTGATGGCTGTAAGGACTCATGCCAATTCCTACCAGTAAGGAAAGAAACAGGGACAAGCAACACTGTTGTCTCATTGGCCAACAAAAGGGGCCCCACTGAAAATAGTTTATTCAATCACCATCTGCCAAAGGGAAGCAAGTTGTCAGCCTCCTTCTCCCCAAAATTCTAATAACTTCTGCCTTGGCTCTGAGAAACCAGATACCTCGGAACAGACCTTCTGCAGGAATTGAAAGCTTTACACTAGAGACTCAGCACAGAGAGGCTTGTTGCCCAAGCTATCCACTCTGAACATTTGCACTCACATTCCAAAGATATTTCCGTTGCACTGGAATGGCTGCAAATGTCTTTCCTGTGGAATTCTTTCCAAATACACCAGGATGAACTGCACTTTCTAACATGTGCAGACAGTGTTCAGTCCCTGACCCAGCCACAGTTGGTCTCATCTCAACAAATCTTTAGCGGCAGAACTGGATGGAGCTGATGGCATAGCTGAGTATGCTGGAGAGTTAAAAGTTGAAATAACTAACAGATGTAGGGAAGGGCGTGGAATGTCAGCTTTACACAATATAGTAAATATGTGTATGTGCACTTTGAAGGCAATATTCTATTTAATTATTGAAGCTGTTTACCTTTTTCTATACTAAATTAAACATGTTTTCCTTTAATTTAAAATATATTGTTTCCCTGTATTAAAAAATTATTAAAGAACTTGGCCATATGATGGGAATGAAGGGAGCAAGTACTCTCCTTTCCTTTAGGGAAATAATATGCTTTTTGTGTGTGTGGCAGAATTAAAAAGTATAAAGCTTTGAATTTTGAAAAGGGTTATTAAATTCTTTCAATAGTTTTCCGAAGTAGAAACTGGAGCACTTATAAAAAGGAAAGGAAGCTTAGCAGTGTTCAGAAAACAAAATGAATTTAAACATATGATTAATACTGCTACTGAAATTAAAAAGAAAGCATCTTTTAAAAAAATCAATTGTCTTGAAACAAAGCTTAGACTTTTGGCTATTGATAGTATTTTTAGACTCAGACTCTCTGGAGAGTTAAAAGTATGCAAATGCAGAGTGCACAGAGGCACAAACACACACTCCCTATACCTTTGTATTACATTGGCATTTTATTATTTAATTAAACTACTCTTATTTTTCTAGCTCACGCATGCTTCCCTTGAGACGGCTTTGCTGTTAGCCTGCTGGCCTTGACTTCCAGCCAAAAACAATTCAGAAACAAAAAGGGACAACAAATCATATTTTCACAGACATTTTTATCCCTCAGTACAACCCTGTTTTCACACAACATCATACAGACTCTGTGAAAACTATAATTTATTGCAATAGCCATCCAAAACCAGGGTTTGACACATGCTCTGTGGTGTGTTTCCACTTTTATAATGTCTTAAATTGTGCCATTAGGAAAGGAACTGTTATGCTGAAACAGTATAACATTATTTCAAAGAACAGTTATCAATAGTTGACAATGACTTAAGAGATCCTAATAGGCTGACTTAAATACTAACAGAAACCAGTAATTGTATCACCCCTTAAACAGCTCAGACAGAAGTTACCACACACATTTGTAGATAAAGATTATTTCTGGGAAATATCTGTTTGCAAACAGTTTTGTGTATCATGGACACACTCTAAAATGGATAATCAACTTTACAAAGCAAAGCTAATTTATCAGGCTATTTATCACTATCTTTCCACTGCATAGATTATCACTTACCTGGTGGCAACCTTGTAAATTTGAGTCTCTTCCATATGATGAATATGAACCCCTTTCTGTTTTACCTGCCAATAAAAAATAAATAGATGTTTAAGTGTTACAACATTGTTATTTTTTCTCTATATATCCATACTGGTGTTTACATAAGTAAAATAGGCACTTCTGACCACGTACTGTACGCAGGCAACAGAAAGGGTTTAACACTTTATTCTGGTATGATAACGTGGAAATTAGCTTCCTATCTTAGCCATATTGCTCCACACACTTCCTAAAACTCTTAAAGTTTAAGAGATTCTACCATTTCTCTATAGAAATAGACTTCTCACCCCCTAATCTTTCCCTCCTTCCATCTCTCACTCAGAAGCTGAACAACTGTGGATTTAGTAGTAGTAGTAGTAGTAGTAGTATTTACACAGCAGGCAGGCTACCTATATTGTGACCCCTGCATAGTAATTCCCATTGATTATACGGACACTGGTGAGGCTGGAGCTAATCAATCATAGGCTCTCCAGATGGTGAACTTAACAAAGAAACTATTCAGGATTCTGCATTTTTCTTTTTTTTCCTAAGAGTAAATTCCCCCATGATCAATGTGATGATGGAATTTTCACCTGGGAAAGAGAAATTTGGTTGGAAATTTGCCATTCTCCACCAAAGCTCCGACTACACCAGCAGTGCTGGGACTTGAATAGAGACCCAGTGACTGCCAAGACTCTATGCCAACCTTAAGTGCCTCATTTTTTTTCCAGTGGGCCTTTAAAACAGGGATCCAATAGTCGAGCTATCACACTTCCTATAGGTATGCCATATTTAAAAGTAAAATAAAGATCCTTTATAAATTGAGAGACTGGTCTTGAACAAAATCAATCAGGAAAGAGGCAGCTGCGGCAGAAGGCTAAGTCGTAGCTGGGTAGCACTACAGCATGTGCAAGTGGAACAAAGAACAATCAGGAAGGTTGGTACAAAACATACTGGCATAAAGAGCCCCTGAGTTGGTGAGGATAATAACAGAGGGATGGCAGAATGATTATCAGACAAAATATACAAGAACCAATCAAAAATCACTAAGGGCACTGTTGTGAATTCTGAAGCTCTTGTTATATACAGAAACATATAAAATGCAACATACAATACTTGCTACGAAGGGTCATATATTACATATGCAACTCCTATCAATATCATTAGTACCTGGAAACCCAGATCTAAGGTTCAAATTGTTTCCCAACCATACCTATAATAAATTGTAATAACTGGCTATACATACTACATTACCAATTCAAAGTGAATTATCACTTCCAAAGATACATTAATTACAAAACATTTTCTTGACAAAAATGCTATTTTATTGGAAAATGATCAAGCAAAGCTGGTAGCTTTGTTGGCATTTTGTGTTGGGAAAAAACCCAGCAAGCGGACTGACGACGACCAAATGGTATTTCTTTAAGACGAGTGTTGAATGGAAATTTTTACTCAATTGAATAAGACATGAATTAGCAGTTTTTCTAGTCTGATTTTAGAGAAATAACACCCATATTGTGTCATATTATTACACTGAAAATGCATACAGTAAATTTTAATGGTTCTTAAATTATTATACAAAAAATTGTTATGCTTTTTTTACACCCCAGGAGCTAAGACAGAATATGGTATGGTTACTTTATCCCAAACCTCTTTTGCAGGCCAGATCTCATCAATAATATTTCTCAAGGGGGATCAAGATACAGTATTTATTTTATTAAAGAAAAGGCTGGTAAAACAGATTAAAGTATGTATAGGATAATTTTTGTGGCTAAACATTTATTTTGTTAGCCCCACAGATTCACTGCAAAAGAAAGCTCAATTGAAAAAAATCAATATGGAAATGACAATAAAATTCTAATCTTGAATCCTGGAGCCAGTGCTGAGATCTAAAAATAAAACATCTTGCTGGTATGTGTCTGGAGTTCTGTGTGTTACTTCGACTCACTCAATAGGGCTACTTGTTTTAAAGTCAGAAAGTCAGTACAAACAAAAAAATGCTAAGAATCAAAAAGGGAGGATGGTCATGGCGAGTTGTGTGTAAGCTTAGTACAAGCCGCAACACAAGAAATTCTGCCTGCAATTCTCATTTGTTGCACGGGTATCACTCATCTTCATTACTATCATATCAGATACAGGCTGCCTCATCTTAATTTCAGTTGTTAAAAAATATTTATCCAGATACAAAAATAAACCCACTGCAAATTACAAGTTGTCAGGGTTAAAAATCTACTTCTATTTGTGTGGGGGAGGATAAGAGAACAGCATAGACATGAATCATTCTCAGTAATTTGAGTGTTTCCATGACATCAATGGGCACTCGTCCAGGACTCTGTCGAAGTCTGTGAGGTACCAAAGCGGCACAGCAGCCAGCAGGAGATTGACTCTCTCTCTCTCTCTCTCTCTTTTTTTTTTTTTTAGGATTATGCTCCTTGTAAAGATTTCATCTGTAGCATCCACTTTTACCACCAAACAGATAGCTTTGGAGATCATCAGTGAAAACATTTCATTCTGATAGTGTAAGCCCTTAACTTTATTACATTTTTGCTGTTGTTACCAAGTACATCTCGAAAACTGCCTTCTTTTAAGAACAAAACCACAATTTTTGAAAAAGAAATAATGATATATATATATATATATATATACACACACACACACGTAGGCGCACACAAACACATTCACAATTTATTGTAATTATGAAATTAACTTTTTTTAATGACACTTCATTTTGTAGGAAATACATCTTTTTTATAAACTGCCCATTTAAAATTAGCTACAGTCTTGATGTTGATTTTCTGCTTAAAATTCACTGGCACATTTGTTTCAGATAATAAAATTTGCAAGAGTGCTGATAATATGCTAGAGTAGGCTCTTAAAGTAACTATTTGTATTCACAAATACAAAAGCTTACCCTGAATTTCTCTATTTACTGTACGCTACGTATCATTTTTAGTCAACCTTAACATCCCAGTCTAAGGTTTGGAAAAGCTAAAGATTTTTTTAAAATGTTTTTAAGGAGAGAGAATCTACAGTGATGTAGAAACCCGATGCATTCACTGCGGAATTTTCGAGACAACCCTCTAGTACTAGAATGCGGCAGCCGCTGCGGATATTTTTTGGCACAAAGACAATGGTGGCAGTGCCAAGCCCCATGGCTAAAACTACTCAAAAGAGGCATAAGGGTAGCATTAATCGCTCAAGTCTTTTACTGCATGGAGTACTGATGTCCATAATTTAAAAACTAAAAGTACCCGTTAGTAATATTTTCTGTAAGCAAGGTAGGGGGGGCTTGAAAAAAAGACCCAAGAAAAAAATCTTGTCAGACATTTGATTATATAATTTTTATACCTAGAGGACCAAATGTTAAGATGTGCCAATTCTTTCTAGCATTGAGTACATGTAACAAAAGATATATCCTAATGTAGCTTTATGCTCTGACAATTGATTCAAAGCTTCATAAATGACATTGACCTACAGTCGAGTGTTAAATAACTTTGATGAACACTGTTTCCTTAAAATAATATATGGAAAGCATCTATTAACAGAAGTATTTTTTCAAAAAAATATTTTCAATTGACACAATGCATGCCAATCAAACTAACTATAAACAAAGAAGGAACATCATGCAGCTCCTCTTTTCTGACAAACACACTGAATCTGCAGTTTTAGACTCTGTAAACATTCCAAGAAACAAAAATATTGCTTATGTAAACCGAACTAAACGATAGTTTAAGCTACAATTGCTAACATTTTAGTATTACTGTAAAAAAAAAAAAAGAGAGCAGCATAGGATTGACAATCAATCAATAAAGAAGCCACTTGCCTCTCCATGGTGCACTTTGAAAAATTAATCAAATTAAGTAGAAAATTTAAGCAACTTCCAAAGCACAAATGCAAGTCATCTAATTCTCCGCTATATTTTCCTTTGCCCAGAAAGATAGGGCACCTTGTCTTTAGTATACAGAATAAGGAGACATGAGGCAACTCTTTCTATCTGCTAAGGAAAAAGGAAGTGGAGTTATTGTTATAGATGGTTTGAGGGCAATATTTATGTGGATTTCATGTCTGACAGGTATTTTTAGAGATGAGCTCAAGTATCAAAATTGAGATCTGGCTTTAAATATTCCAAAATTTCATTTTTAGATTCTGGTTTTGCTTTAGTCCATAGACAAAATAGAAGGCCAGGTTAAAAAAAAAAGTAATTTGAGTGGAGTTGAATTTGAATAGCTTAGAAATTGGGGCTAGTCAGGTCTGGAGGTTTGGTACAGATCTACTTCTTATTTCATCATCATGTATTTTCTCCCCATTTTTTAGAATCAGATTTTGGTCTCCTTCGTGTGTTCTGCATTCATCAGCGATGGAAGAAAAGATGTCTCAAGAGCATCTCAAGGATGGTCTGACTGGTCCATCCAAGGAGAATGACAAATTAAGGAAAGGGAAAAAAATCACCAAACATGATAAATGGAAAACCTAAAGTACATTTAGAGAAAGTTAGGAGCAACTCATGAGGGCTGTGGAATGGAAAATTTCTTTTCTCAGCTCTATTTATAGTTTCATATTTGGTCAATATACAATGTGCTGTTATTAATATACAAATAATAAGGTTTAACTTGCATCATGATAAGGATCATGCACCTTTTAGCCTGGCTCTACACTTCCCCACATAGCTCTATACTGCCCTGATATCAGTTGGTGTTTTAATGCACAAGAAATGCAGGATTGGCCTTCATATACATAGGCATCAAATAATCATTTAACTCACCACTAATGTGCAGCCACCGCTGGGATAGAATGAGCATCTATTGGACAGCACAAGCAACACTACATAATCATTTACAACAGCAATGCTTCAGTCTGTCAGGATTTTAATTTCGATTATTAGAGATTGAAAACTTGAATAGTTTTAATTTATAATCAGACTTAATTGAAAATACAAGTTCTCTGCCTTGACATCTTTTCCCTCTAAGAAAACAAAAACAGAACCCCCTCCTCATTTGAATAATTTCAGCAGGGGATCCACCAGAAATTTTCATTTTTAGTGGTTCTG